TTAGGCTTAGTGCCAGCATTCATCTACTCTTGTAACAGCTTAAATTAACACCTGTTACATTCTATCTAAACCCTTTATTACAGAGTAAGAGTTGAGAGCTGGATTCAGTCACCTAGTCTGAGGGCCACCCATCATGCTCGTCCATCTTTCAGGATTTCAAATGCTGCATAATCTGGACTGAGGAAGGCGATGGTCAGCCACTGGTAAATTGAAGGAGGGGCTGGCAAGCCATCTTTGTATACATGTCCCTATTTCCTGAGAAACAGCGTGGGGGTGGTCTGACGTATTTACCATAAGTACGTATGACAGTAAGCTCCAACAAAATGTAAGATTTGAGTAGGCTAGGCACTGTGCTAACAGTATTTTGATACTTTCTGGAGGAGCTGAACAGACAAGCTAATTGAAAGATGGGAAATATCACTGCTTGGTTTTGCAGGTCAAGAACTGGACTGTAGATTATATTTTGCACAGACTCAGATAGAAGACTGAAACAAAATGTCTCACAAAGCCAGGCCTTCTTTAGCCCCTTCAAAATTACACTGGTCCTCTTAAGAATATCACTTATATTTTACTCTAACGGACATGAGAGCAATCTGTCTGACTGTGATTACAAGGCAAACGCTCTGAAGCGGGTAAAGATATAAGCACAAGGAAGACAAGTTTTCCTAAAAGTGATAACGCAAAATAATCTTAGCACACTTAGAAAAGTACAGGGTAATTGGTTAGAACTGAACAGTCTTTAAAGTTGGCCAGCTGATACCTTGATCTCTATCCAGAGTCTCTAAAGTCCTATACCAAGATCTTCATGATGAAGGCTGAGAGTTGGCTTCAGGGACTTCCAAAGCTGTTTTGTATTCTAGAAAGACTATTATTGGTAGAATATTTAGCACCTTTAAAGGTCATCTAATCCAAAGACTATTATTGGTAGAATATTTAGAACCTTTAAAGGTCATCTAATCCCCAACCCCCTCCAATGAGCAGGAACATATTCAGCTAGGTCAGGTTGCTCAGAGCCCTTTTCAACCTTACCTTGAGTATTTGCATAATTTTTACCCATCCCTCTCCACAAGAAAAAAACGCCAAACAAACAACAAATAGAGGAGAGATCAGTTTCAAGGAAGCTGAAATACCTTTCTGTGATGAAGAAGTTTTAAGATGACAATGTGCTGTTAGTTTACAGAAAGTCCAGTTGTTTTGTATGCTTTTGAGATGATGGAAATGGAACTAATTTTCAGACAGTCAACATTCATCCACTAGTAAAACTGAAAATAAATGTGAACATTTTGTGGCTAGATAACACCGTTCAGTCATAAATAAGAGTTCACAGCCATCTTTGCATTTAGGAGTACACTATAAATATAGCTTATCTTCAAATATTTTCAACTTGCTGGAGTTACTTGAAAGCTTATCATGATAGAGTCCATTTAAAAGGAAAAGAATTAAAATTTATCTAAGATATGTGTCCCCAAATACCTCTCATAGCATTCATTTATACTGACCTTTCTAACATACTGTCTTCCCACACTCTTTGTATATAGTTAGCTGAAAAAACACCTTGCTGGCATTTGTAAAAAGTTCCCTAAAACTTCAGAATTACTTTTTTCAGTCAAGTTTAAAAATCAGAGAAAAAAAGTTAAAAGCAAAATTCTTACTTTAAAAAAAAATAAATTTGAGAATGGAAAATACCAGTAATGTAATTGGAAAGGTTTTAAAATACAGTTTGTAAGTTGTCAGCGACCTTTTTGTGATAAATATTTGATTCATAAAAGAAATGTTACGCAGACTTTTAAAACACTGCTTTTATGAATAAATGCAGGTCAAAAAATAAAATTAAAAATGCAGGTCAAAACTGATGTTGTCTTGTGAAAGACTGCATTTTTTTTAATTTGAAAAATATATTTGCTATGACTTTCCACGTAAGTCTGCAGGTCTCAATTTTGTGACAAGTTACATATGTTATGCCTAATTTTAAGCATTTTGGAAAGTTTTGTGGTCTGAAGCAAGACTCCTTTGACTGCATAAAATTAGCTGTATACATAAATCTTTGAAGAGTGGGGACTTTCTTGCCATTAGATAAGAAATGTTGTTCAACTTCTGTTTTATCTTTTAAAGATAACATCCCATGGCAATTTTGCAACAATAATAGAAGTTCCCTGAAAATGCTTTAAGTAATGGAATTAGATTAAGTATTTTAAGAATTAGATTTTCCTCCTTTCTCCAGCTGAATAAGTTATACTTCATTTTTCTTCCCTTCCAAACATTCTTCTGTGGTGTTGCTAGCACTGATTAAAAAGGTAGACCTATATCTAAGTGAAATCCTGTAATTTTGACTTTTTACCCGTCTTTTTATACACATACCTATGTGTACATATTTATATATGTATTTTGCCTATAATATATTAATCATAGGTTTTCCTGAAATCATATGTAAATATAAAATTTTATTGCAGGGACTTTACTGTATTTCAGGGTGCGTTTCTTCTCTTTTCTTTCATTATCTGAAATCAGTGTGAGCATTGCAATCAATTTTAATTATACCAGTATTTCACTCTGAGTTTTATAGGAAGAGCTGGCAGCAACAACTATAGTTAAGGTTGCTTAAGACTTTCCACTGTATAGATTCTGTACTTAAAAAGAGAGAGGGATAGAAATTGTACATAAGGGTACAATAAAACATGTTAAGATTAGCAAAGTTAATTTTATCTGTGTTACTTGAAAAACCAGAAGGATTTATTAGGGACTCTGACTTTATATTTTTAAATGCAATGTGACTGAGACTGATATAATTTTAAATAATTATTGTTATGAAGTTCAAAAAATACTATAAAGATGGCAAAGACATTACTTCACAGTATTACTTAAGAAACAATTATAGAATTATCAGTATTTTAACCTGTAAAATATTTTTAAAATATATATTTTCTGGAAATGTTGAAGTAGAAAACGTATCGTATACCTTCTTGTTTCTTTTCCCAGACCACTCTCTAAAGCTACTATTAATAACATGTTGCAGTACTACTGTGATTTATTAATGCAAGTTACCTTAATTATAACATCCTTAATACTGCTGAAGATGGTGAATTATATATAATCATTTCTGTGAAAAAGAAAGGAATTATAAAACTCTAAATTACTGTTTTCTGTAATGTATTCCATTATTTCAAGTAGTGTTTTCTCCTTTTGCTCACAATACTATTTATGAGCTTTGGTTGCACCTACTTTTGTGTAAGCAGGGGAAGGCATGATTATTTTTCAAATATGTATGTTTAGTTGTTTAGTAACTAAACTTAGTATAGGGTCCAATCTAAGCTAATAGAACGAGTGTGTGGTAGACACATACCTTCACTGTAAAAGATTCTGTCATCCTTTCCTAAAAGATTTAAAAGTCCTAATACAAAGTTCATTGTAGTCAGCAGAATCTCTTTCCATAGGTTTCTGCATTTGGCAGTTGCAGAGCTGAAAAACAGCTTTGCTATCTGTGTAAATATTGTGGGCAGTCTTGATATATTTGCTACTGAGGAATTCCTCAGTCTGTAGCTACATCAAACGAGACTGTTGGATACACTCACAAAGGCTTAGTAATAGTGGCATTAATAAAATCTCTGAAGGAACTATGGACAAAGCTGCTCTTCAGGGAATGGTCCCCACTTGGCACCATTCAGGCAGGAGTTGTTGGCTGAGTACACCCAGAGAGGATTTCTAGTCCATTACAGAACCCTTTTCTAAAGAAGGGAAGCATCTTGAAGGAACTTGAGGGAGTTGGTACTCTGCAATATTTGAATTGCATGTGTCCAAGGAGGCATAAGCTATACAAAGAGCAAAAAGCTGAGATACACAGACTGTCTCATATTCCCAAGGGTTAGGAAGTCTCCTGTTCACGTGGCATTTACAGTGTTTATGGGTCTCATGTTCCCGCAGCTTAGGTGTAGATTCTCTGTATCTGGTCTGTAATGGAGAGATTGAGTTGGACCAGCCCAGAGCACAGCTAGAACGCCTGCATGATGGGGGTTCTGGTCCCTGAGCTCTCCTTTATGTAGCACAAAAGATGTACCCCTACAGTATTGGTAGGATCCACAGCAAAACAGCTGTAACTTAATTTCTGAGGAAAGGAGACTGGTGAGATTAAAACCATGTGCGATGGTCGTTTTCGCTGAAAGGCAGGAGTATGTAAGACATGCCTAAGATTCATCCCACTAAAAATAAATGTGTACATACAGGTTCTGCACCTGAATTTATCACCTTATGCTCTCCTTAACGGGGGGAAGTGCGCATCTCTGTGTCATGATTTGTCTCATTCCGAGTTGGGTGTTTAAAGTGGCTCAGTTGAGTCTCAACCAAAGAAATATCCATATCACTCTTTCTGGCTTTAAGGGGAACTGAGATAATTTTTATTCAGCTGTAAATATCTGTAAACTGCTTTACTGCATATGGTTGCTGCAGAGATTCTTGAAAAGGAACTCTTGCAGATCTGGATATCAAACTTGCTGGGCACATATGCTGTCAGAGTTGGCAACAAAAGAGATAATCAGACACAGTTTGATTATGGGTTGCCACCCTGATGACAGATGAAAGCAGGGATGTGTTACTTCAAGGTGCAGCTGAGGAAAGAATGTCTTATTGCTGTTGCATGGGAAAAGTTGTGATATCCTCCCTCCCTGTGTACTAACTTGTTACTAGGCCTATGAACATCTGTATTTGGAAGCACTGGAATTTACGTCTTTTTTATGTCTTGACTTGGATGAAAAATGTGTATTTTCTGTCAGTTCAGACATTACTCCATCATCTACTGCAGAGAGAGCTTGGAGAGAGCTCACAAAGTTAAATGATCCAGTGTTCTGGAGGATACCTGCCTACTTGCCTGTGGTAGTTGAAGGCACTTAGCTTGCCTTACCATGCTAAGTTGCCCCTAAGATTAGCTGGGTGGGGCTCTGTGAGAAGGGAGAGGGTGGCTGATGACTATTGTTCTCCACAGCAGCAAGATAAACTGCCATTTTGACTCAGAGGATCTGAGGTCAGTCAGAAGCCTCCCACTTCATAAGCCTTGAGAAGCTCCAGGAAGCTGGCACCAGTGAAGAACTAAGGACCAGCAGAGTCTGTAGGTAATGTGCTGGAAACCAGGGACTATCCATGGCGTGATTTTACCCCAAATCTACCCATGACAGCGATCTGTTACACCTAATAACATCTCAGCACCCAAAACAGCCCGCTGCTATTACCAGGCCTGAATTGACGAAGTGGAAGGCAAGCTTGAGGAATAAGTATTGCATTATTATATTGAATAAATGGTAGGCTAGCAGATGTTCTTACGAATTAAGTAGGGTCTAAATGACTTAACACCCATGGAATCTCTGCCTCTTGTCTTCTCCTCTTAGTCTACTCTCCACCTTAATCTCTTTTTTTATAACCTCTATTTTATTATAAGTAATATTGTGTGTATTCAGCAACTAGGTTTACTTGCTGATCACTGGTAGTTGGGGAGGTACCAGAATCCTTCCAGGGAGAGCCACAGGAGACTCTGCTGCTCTGAAAGGTTAGGGTACCTCATCAAGAACTAGGTAGTACGGCATCTGTGGAGGGTCACTAGAGCTTGATTACCTTGTTTTTTGTACCATGGACTGCATTAGGCTGAAATGACTTGTCTAAGATCTTAAAACAAGGCAGTGACAGAGCTGGAAATAATCTCTGAGGGTAAATGCTATTTGTAGCATATTTTCTGCAATTATTGCCTTTTTGGGTGGTTTCTGGTTGATTACTGCAAATTAAAAAAATAAAATAAAATTTCTGCATTACTGAACTTTTGGCATCCACATTTGATTTTAAATTCAAGGATGTCTGTGTCTGTCTTATGTCACTACTGATCCACTTTCTTAAATCTACCTCACATGTCCTACAGAAATGGGTTTAGACATTAAAATCATCTGTCCCGCCTTCTCCTGTGCATCCTGGAGTTACAATACTAATACTGTACAAAACACAACCCTATTGTCATAGAGGTAATAATATTAGGTGTTAGGCTTGTGAATACAAAGTGAGAGTTTATACTGTTTTCTAGCAAATCAGAGGAATGGTGAGATCTTTACTCACAAAAGGTGCCTTGCCTGGTTTCTCCATACTTGATACTACATTGGCAGTTATGAAACTAGAAATTACTGCTGTGTTTTTACACAAAAGGAGAAATTCTGCAAGAGAAAATTTAATGCAATTTGGACCACTTTGTAGTCTTCAGAATCTGCCACATTTCCCTGCCACCCAAATTATTTAAATTGTAAGTAGTTTTGCAAGGCTGTTAGTATTATTTTCTCAGCTCACCCAAAGTTTTTGCAAGACTTATTATCTATGATGAATCACAACATCTTTTATTCATATAGTTATAAGTGCATTAAAGCTGTCAGGTATAATTTGCCGCTTTTTCTTCTTTTGATTCAGCATGCTTTCTGAAAAGAAGCTAATTTAATAACTAGAGAATCTAAGTTTTATAATCAAATTTGTTATATTTACCAGACCTGAATTTCAGATGGGATAACATTAAAAATGTGCTTGAAAAGAGCAGAATTGCCAGTGGGCATTGAATTAGCAGCTTGAAAAATATCTAATAATGTTGTGATCAAGAGTGTTATGAGAGAAGGAAGAAGAGGAATTCCGTTTGTCTTTATCTGTAGCTTTTACATATTGTGCAAACTGAAATGAAGTTTAGAACCTCAGCCCAAAGCTTCAGTTCAGGGGAAAGAGTGTTCTGGTTTTGGATTTTTTAGTGATTTTCAATGTGCCTGTATAATGTGGTGCTGCAGCTCTGCCTACAAATCTCTAAATTACTGATAAAGAAGTAGATGCTGCTGTTTATGTGCATATATGAGCACTTGCCACTGTACACTGTGTACCAGACATAATCCCATGAGTTCTGCATCCAACAAATTTCTGCTGAATTCTGGATAAGGTTTGTGCTTGGAAGACTTCTGGATCAAGGTTTCCTGTCAGAAAGTGCTCTATAAAAGGCCTGTTCAAAACGAACAGAACAAAAACCCAACAAAAGCAAGTCTTTTCCTGTTGCTCATGTTCGTCTCCTCTGAGTCTTGGTCCCCCAACCCTCTTAACCAAGTTTGTGGCAAAGATTGTATTTTATTTACAGATATAGGTTAAGACAGCCTGTTCTTTTGTGATCACATTAGTTTCATTTGTACTGTGGAGATTTTTAATTCCCAAAGGTGCTGCCAGTTTTTGGGTACACAATTTAAGTTTAAGCAGAGTTTTTGTTTTTCCCAAGGACTTCTGCAGGCTTTCAGATATTTAAAATATGAAGTTGTGGTTCTCTTTGATTCGTCTGTTAAACAGTGTTGGCTGTACTAAAACTGGCAATGAGGCTAAACAAGAATTAAAAAAAAGTATTCCAGAGAACCAAAATATTGTAGAGTATTTGTCTTCTGAAGGTATGTTGCCACTTAGCAAATACTGAGAATAATGACCACACAAATACAAACAAAGAAAATTCAAAAAATCTCTGAAATTTTGCTTAATATTGAAAAGCTTAATTGAAGGAAGAGCTTGTTTCTATTGAGCTTTTTGCGCAAAAGAGATTGTATGGATGTAATACATCATTGACAGGACACAGTAAGTCAACTGTTCATCTGGCTCTGCTGTAGCTCCAACCTTGCACAGCTGAGAATGTTCACATCTGGAGGGGGAGGATGATATATTAACTCCATGCATTTCAGAAGATGTGTGTGCTACAATGCAGAGCCCTTGGTGCTGAAGGTAGTTTTGACAAAGAATTTGTGGCACAGGGGCCGTAGCTGATACAAGGATACAGGGTTTAGCTCTAGAATTCCATATTCTTTTAGTCTCTGTTTTACACATATAGTTCTTTGAGAAATCTCATAGTTTGAGAAGCACAAATTTCTTAAAAAAGTAGAAGAGGATCAGATTGTTAGACAAGAACACCTGAATGAACTTTTCGTGGAAGGGTAGGAACAAGACAAAATGTCGTAATACCCAGTGCGAGGTCACTAGGTATTAATATTATTAAGGGCAAAATGCTAGAAATCTGCACCAAATCCTCAATGATTCAGAGCTTGAGGACTCCATACATGAATGAGTATTTCTTGCTTCTGTCATCAAACAGCCACACCAAAGCATGACTAAGATGAAAGGCAAGGCTGCAGTGGAATTTGAAGCTGAGATGGTTCCATACTGAGAGTAGAACTGGAGATGAGATCAACTCAAATTGAGTTGATTGCACCTTCCTGAAAAGGTAAAGAAGCAGGAAAGTGTAAGACCCTTTCAATAATTATAAGCAATTAGAGGGAAAAAAACAAACCTCAGAAGATGAGACGTAAAAACAGCTCACATGACGTTGCAATCTCATAGCTTATGTTGTCAGCAAAAAGAGGTTGGATGAATTTCTGCAGACTCAACAGTAATTGCCATGCGGCAGCAGTTAGTACTATTGAAATGCTGGAACTGAAGGGAACCAGCTAGCCTGTAGTGACTGGGAACAGATGTCCTCCGAAGAGCATGAGACAGCATTCTGCAATGTGAGAGAAATCTTTGCCTGTCAGTCTAAACTGGTGACTAGTTTGGTGGATGGGGACAAGTATATATGAGATAGGAATTTTACCTTTTTCCTTCTTTTGTGTCACTAGATACCCAGCCTGGTTCTCAGTGAAGATGTAACAGTCTATTTTTGTAAATGCAGCCTAATGGACATTAATTTTTAGCAGTTACATATATTCTAAATATCAGCATTAGGACTAACAGGGGTGCCTGCATTTGTGGATATATTCAAGGAGTTTAATGTCAGGAACAGTTCCTCTCCAGCTTAGTGTGAATTAATGTTTTGTAATGATCTGGATGTAACTGACCTTGAGTTGAGCAGTTTATATTCCCTGTTGGATTAAGAGGGGTTAAGCTCATGCAGTTCTATACAATTGAGCAGTTTTAACTGAAGCAACTTGTGTGAATCTTGCCTCAGGAAGTTTGAGGTTACTGCCTAATATTTTTGGCCAGTGGACAGAAGTAGGATTTGCATTTTCAGCCTGACAAAGGTGGCTGAATTCCTGAGGGTCAAAGCAGCCACAGTCAGCCCTGAGTCCCCAAACACACAATAGCTGCGAGCTGTACGCCCATGCTACCCACCTAAAGTGAAAGGGAGGAGTCAGACTGCTCTGTGTGATAGGAAAAGGAGTAAAGACTCTGATCTCTGTGCTTAAATGCTGTTCAAAAGATACAAAAAATGTATCATTTTACCTTCTACTCAGGAATAGCTTATCTAAGAACTACTCTTGAAAGGAATTGCTAGAAAGGCCAGTTACAGGCAGAATTTAGTACTGAACTTTGAAATGTTCTTCGTCTTCTGGTATATATTGATTGCATGCTGTCTTGTTGACTGCACCAGCTTTTCTTCTCAGTTTTCTTAAGAAGAATCATGTGAATAAAAAGGTACCATGAATAAAAAAGTACCATGCTTATTAGCCTTCATGGCAGCTCATGTCTGTTCTCCATAACCTGCCAGGATTACCCCTGTGACTACTCAAATACTCTAAAGCAAAGATCATAGCTGTATATCCTATGAAATAGGAAACCTTCAGTGATTTCTGTGGATCCTATGAAATAGGAAACCTGTAGTGATTTAGGCTGGGTTGACATAATTTTCAGAAGGGCTAAGGAGGTATGAAGTGATGTAAAGTGATTATTTTAAATTTTCATGTGAAAAAAATACCACAGATTAATGGAAATGTAATCTCACTACAAAAAGATGAGGCCAGGAATTTAAAACAGCCAGGAGCTTAAAATCAGGCACTGAAATCATTATCCTTACTTAGGTCATAAGTAAATAAATAGTTAAAGACATTGAGGAGTCACATCAACCCCATGCAATGCTATAGATTTGGAGAAGAGTAGCTGGGAAGCTGCCCAGAAGAAAAGAATGTGGGGGTGCTGGTTGACAGCAGCTGAACATGGGCCAGCAGTGTGCCCAGGTGGCCAAGAACACCAATGGCACCCTGACCTGTATCAGCA